TTAACGGCTTCGTTTGTGACCGCGGCGCCGCGGGACACGACTGGAATTCGATCCGATAGATGTTCACCGTCGGCGACGAACGAGATGCGTACAAGATGTCCGGGGTGTTGAAAACGATTCGGCCGACGGAAAGGGCACGGGTAAAAAACACAAATCTCTCGCCCTTACCGTTCGGTGAACAGGCGCCGGACATTATCAACGACATCCCTGCCGGTGACGGTTTTACGGGGGGAGAATAGGTGAACCACCCCCCCCCCTTGAGCCGTGTAAAAACGAAATACGTGAATGAACAAACGGCTTACTAAAAATCGTTTTGGCGATGATTTTATGTCAAAACTGTTTGCTCCTATAGAAGTTTGACTGTTAATCAATTGCATTATTTGCTAAACAATTGAATGAAAAATAATTTTTTTATTGATTCCTATACTTTCATGCTATGTCATTGTGACATAAAGTTTATAGAACTTAAAATTACTTCTCATGTATCAAGCAATAGGAAAAAATAAATGGGATATGTATACAAATTGTAAGTATATGCAAAATATTTTCGCCCCCCTCCTCTTGTAGCTTCTCAAAAACTGCCACTGATCCCTGCGGAAGTGCCCGGACCATGACGTTCACGTCGCATCGGACCAGTTGTTTTGGGAATGTGACCGAGATGCTGAGCTATCCGGACGGCTATTGCACGCCGGAACGCGCGTTTAAGTTTGATTCGTTTTTTTTTTTTTTTAATTTTTCTCTTTTTTTTCTTTTCTCTTGTACGTTGATTCATTTTTATTTTTGAAACTTTAATCGCATCAAATGCCGTATTGTTCAAGTCTATAAGATTACCAATGTAATAGTTTTTTTTTCCTCTCTTCTGCTTTTCTTTCAAATTCTGATTAAAAACTGATTTACATTGTTTAGACTTCAAAATTCGGTTTTTAAGACCGTTATTGTGAATAAAAAATAAAATTAAAAAACCACAGTACGATCACACGAGCAAAACGTATTTATATCGATACGAGTTCAATCGGTGTGGATGTAAACAACTGTAAACAAAAATCGGACTTTTACAAATAGTTGTTCAAAGTCGAAACGACGAGGCCATATATAGGTACGAGGAGGCTCAGCTTACGGAGTCGTTATTATTGGACTTGAGCGGGTTTTTCTTTTCTATAAATTCGATGGCACTGCACGAGTAAGTTCTGAAGCGCGCAACTCGAGTGTCGTGCATGATGACGAGACACGAAAAAAACCGCATAAAACCAACACCCGATCATGACATGATCATCAGTGCGAATTCCGACTACGGCCCATAACTATGTGCGGGACGAAACTAAACGTTTCCATCGTCTAATCGTAAACGAATGCGCCACAACCAACGCCGAATGAACTGATTTGAACGTAAAAAGTAAACACCGAAAACATGCCTACGATGAATTATTATTGAAACATTGTGCTGTTGCACACAGCAGTGTAACCCAATTAATAAGCGCTGTTATAATATTAGCGAACTAATGAAATCGACCGTTCACAACGATAACTATTTAATTTTTTTTTTTTTTATGTTCAGATCTCTTATGGGTGTATTACTTTCACGTTTGGTTCGATTGAATTTGCCAAATATTAAGGCCACTCTCAATAACATTGAAAACAAATAAGGTCAACTAGTTATTTATTTCTACTCGAGTTATTATACATTATACTTGCACTGGTCGTTCGATGATTTAAAATCAAAAGTTGCCAAAGACTGTATTACATTGGAGCGGAATTAAAATACCCACTTTATAGACGGTATTTTATGTTTTGTATGCGATTGCAATTAAAAACACATACATCCTATAGTCTTCTTTTTTCAACTAATGCGTTTATAATTTATTTTACGCTGCTTTGGTTTTTTACGTGTTCGATAAAAATCGTTATTGAAGTGTTACTTACTACTTATTTTAATGGATGTAATATGATTCGATGAAATTTCTGTTCATGCAGTAAACACCCGGGGCTTTTATTCAAATATTATCCTGTTTCCATACATTATAACATTCACGTGCCGTGTATAACACATGGTTGCTCGATTATTGCATAACACTAAAACACCATTCGCCCCATTCGAACTTAGAAATATGTGCACTGGACGGTAATTATATCAACGAACATTTTTAGATTCTAAATTGAAAATAATTACTTCTCCTCTATTGATTTTCAAACCGCTTCTATTATTAATTGTACACGTAAACCTATCTGCCAACTGTCGAGTAACAATATGTATGACGTATTGAAATTATGGTCTTATCGATCCCTTTACGACCCGGCTCACATATATTATGCGTATAAATATGATTTAATATGAATTGTATTTATATTTTCAGTTAAAAATACAAACGATTTGAAAGTAGTTTTGTCCGATCTTCTTCAGATAATGATATCATCAATATAGATGTATACATATTTATACTGCATACAATGTACGAGCAGTTACTAAAAATTATACCGAAAGGATGAAGAAATCGCATGCCTAAACAATCGTATCGTTTTACTCGTCATGTTATCCTTTTACGTTTAATCAATTGAAATTCATAAAAAACAATCTTTTTTCAGCCAGACTAGGTTTTCCTTAGGCGTTTTTCAGATGTTTTCGGATATTTTATATAATAATAATAAAAAATAAAAAATGTGCATAAAAATGTCTAAGTTTTCGCACCCAAAAATTGTGTTAATAATATCACTGAATTATATTAGCATATTATGTTATAAGATGTAATTTTTTTGTTGCACTTGCTGTCTGTATATTTACCAATAGTAAAATTAATAAAAATGATAAGAAAAAAGGGTCCCTTTCAGATAACGATCATGCTGCGTACTTAGAAATGAAATAAATAATCAGGACAGAAATAACTTAAGTAATTTAATGCTTTTGCTTCGAGTGACAAGTATGAACATTAAAATATTAATAAACCAAAGAATATAATGTTCTGAAAATATTCAACCTTCGTAAAATATTCAAACGAGTTGTGACCGGTGATTGGCGGATGTTTTAAGTTACTTATATAATCTTATATAATACTCAAATGTTTAAGAAGATCGAGTGTAAGGTTTTATATTTTCTCGATCAATTCGTTTGGTATGAAGATAATGTCGATACGAAGTATGTTTGTACAAACTATAAATAAGAACGAAAATATAACCAAATGATTATCATATTTTTAGTGACGTTCTAAAATGTGTTTCTCATTAATCGTTAAAAAAATAACCGTTTGAAAAATAATGTAATCATATCCGAGTGACGGGGTACAGGTACTTGTTCTCATCAAAAATATGTAAGTTTCAAAGTGCCGTAACTTCTCAATTAGCATTTTCTGTCAAATTCAGATTGCACTATATAGTTTTTAAACGTTAAAATACGGATCATATTAGGTTTGGAAAAAAAAATGTGAACAATTTAATGTGACCTGTAAACTAGGAATTTTCCTATAGTTAGTGGTACGGATGTGATGTTAAATCTAAAAAAAACTACAAAACACATTTGGTCAAAATTAATTAAAACATGCAAACATAATTGTTTTATTTTTTTTTTTCAGAAATGACATTGTTTGTATGTTTTATTACTTATTTATTATTTTGTAGTGCAATGAGTAAAATATATATATATATATATATATATATATTAACATACCCTTAAAATACGCGGGGTGATGTTATTAGTTTTTTTCCGTGATAACGCATGCATATTTCGTAGTATAATTAAAACTAATACGTATATAATGTTACGTTGTATGTTTTTAAAAACGAATGAAAGATATTTGCATAATATTTATTAATATTCAGTTTCAGAACTGAATCAAGAATTTATTAATATTGTCATTGTAAATAAGAACTTCCATTCCATCTCGTTTTGATTATCCATAGATTACTCAGTTCATAGAATATTTACAAAGAAATTGCCCGGAGTGCCAAGTATCCCTGACACCCGATCTCGACTAAATTGTGTAACTCAAAGCGAATAAGGACATGTCGTCATCAACGAATCCACCGCAAACGATGTTTAAAGCGGTAAAGTAAATATGATTTTCATTTTTTCCGAAATATTATTATGCTCTCCGTTTAGACGATGGTCCGTGCGATCGTGATCATTTTTCACTCGCAATTATTTGATTTTTACCTATGCATTCTGCACGCGCGGAACGGAGCAGCGGTACGATTTCGGGGCGCAAGAAACATTTCAATACCATTCGTACGGGGTCTAAACGAACCGTTGACGAGATCCGGAAAACGGGAAAAAAAAAACACGTTTCACGTGCACGTTCGTACGATCGAAGAACGTATTCCTTTTGAAGATCTGTTGACGAAAACTGACCGCTCAATCGATCCGTTATAAATCGATCCGTAGGTTTCCGTAAAACGGTAAGCAGGTACGACGTGTTCCGTAGGCTCTACGGACGGCGGTCATCGGGTCGTCGGTGGATCTTCGGAGAAACGGTCGTCATCACCACCGTATTAGGGGCGGTGCGCGGTTACAGGTCATTCGGTCGCCGTCGCGGAGGTCGACGAGCAATACCGTCGGCGGGTTTTTAATTAATGACGGACACGACGCGACGGCTTCGGTACCGGACACGCGTTGTGCCTACACCACTACCGGTCAACAATGCACGCGCGCTAACTGGACGTCATTATTATCAATATTATTATCGTTATTATTATTATTATTATTATCATTATCGTTATTGCTGTTGTACTATTACGCTGTGCCCTTCTCCGGGGCGGCAAACGTGTAGTGTGTAGTGTGTAGTGTGTAGTGGTAGTAGTAGTAGTAGTAGTAGTCGTAGTAGTAGTAGTAGTAGTAGTAGTAGTAGTAGTCGTAGTAGTCGTAGTAGTAGTAGTAGTAGTAGTAGTAGTAGTAGTGGTAGTGGTAGTAGTGGTAGTAGTAATAGCTCGAGTGTAGCGAAGAAGAAAAATAAAAAAAATAAATAAAAAGAAGAAGAAGGAAACGTGGTGAAAGATCTGTTGTGGCAGCGCGCGGCGGTGGATCGAGGTTAACCTCATTCGTTCGTTGGCACAGACCGCGGCACCATGTCCGAATCGCGCGAGTGAACCACACACAAGTTCCGCCGACGATTATACACGTACGCGCGCGCGCACCCGTGGACGTATTCCGCGCCGCCGTCTTTAACACTTACCGGGCGCGGCAGTGTTCGTTTCGCAGTTTTTTATTCGTTTATTATTGTTATTATTATTATTTTTTTATTTTTTTTTTTTCGTATTTTCTTTTCCGTCCGTTTCGCTTTTTCACGTGCACGTCCGACATCTTCCACCGGCAACCGCGCGGCGTCGTAAAATGCTGTGAACCCTGCGCGCGAAATGTTCGACGTCCCACAGGATTACCACCGGTTCGCGGTCTATGTGGTGCCGGTTTAACGGTTCGTGTGTTGCGTTTTGACAGCGGGATCGACGGACGCGCTGAGAATGGCCGCCAGGCGCAAGAAGCTTTTGCCCGCCAGAACGCTGGCGCTGCTGCTCGCCAGCTTATTCGTATTCGACTGTTTAGCGTTAAGCGAAGGTGAGTGAATCGAATGATCACCGGTCGACGGTTCGGATACTACGCGCGCACGGTCTTTGGACCGCGTGCGCCTCGAAAGAATAACATTATCGTTCTCCTTTCTAAAAAACCCGGCACCTCGAACTAAATATATATATATGTATGTGTATACCTACACGAGTACGGTATGCGACCGTTTTTGTTTATTACCGAGTCTTGGCCTTCGCGAGACGTCCGTAGTATAAGCTACGTTTTGATTTTTCCCGCGTTGCGTCTACGTCTACGTCTAGTCGTCGCGTCTACGACTGTAACACATACGAGATGTATGTATCGAGTGCAAAAACAATGCGAACGTTCGTGTATCATTGTTTTCGTTTGTTTTCAACGCGCGACGTTTTATCGCGAAGTCGCGGTAAAACCGTTTTCGAAAAACAGCCGTTTTACACACCTCGGCAAGTGCCGTTACACTCCGATTTCGCAGTGTTCCGTACGAATCACACAAAATGGTATCGCGGAATTGTTTTAGTTCCTATTTTATTATTATTTTTTTTTTTTTTTTCGACACGAAATGCCTGTCACGTTCATACACTTGCATTGCGGTGACTATAGAAGCCATTACAAGTCTCGTTCGTGTAACGCATTTTCATCGGACCTATTATATATCTGTATTTTTTTTTTTTTTTTTTTTCATTTTTTTACAACCACAAAACGCGTAATGTCCGTCGTCCGGCATTATTTTTATTGCTCCCGTTCCCGGATCTAATAAAGCTGGTAAAAGTACAAATCTAATACGCGTTTTACTCGGCACGTACACCCGTTTTACTCGTTTTTCCGTATTCCCTTTCTTTTGAAATGATATTATTATCATTATTATTTTCATTGCTATTACTATTGCTATTATCATTGTGTTCGGTGCGCGTTGTTCTTCTGTTAGAGCGCCGCCGGGGCGCTATGGTAAACGATATGCACGGGACAAACAATAGCGAACAGTAGACGCGGTGAAGGTCGGAAACTATTTGAAACAGATTAAATACAATGGGAATAGAAAAAAAATATATATATATATATATATATATAAAAAAAATTAAAAAAAAACACACGTAATTCGAAAAACATATACTTTCGTTCGTGTACGCGTATTACGTTGTCGTCGTTAGCATATATCCGATCATGTTTCGGGATGCTGTTTTTTTCTTCTTCTAACGAATCGGTCGTTTTTCGCCATTGTTTTCTCGTGGCCGCGATAACCGTTTTCCAACGCGCAGGACGAGCTATACATGTTAGGTACGTAATCGAAAGATCTCGCGATCATGTTATTATTATGTATACGTACGCGTGGATAGGTCGTACCGAAAGGACGACAATGTAATTGCATTGTTGTTTCTCCGCGGGTTATCGCACAATCGTTGCGGGCGTGTACGGGTACGGAGATGAAAAATAAAAAAAAAAATTATCAAAAAAAAAGTAATAAATAAAAAAATATGAAACAAATAAATAAACGCATGTAACACACGCGTGCACCTATAACATAACAATATATTATCGCGGGAGCGGCGAAAAGTAAAAGTTCATTGTGCTGTTACCGCGGTTGTTATCGCCATGGTATTATAATAATGATGCCGATGATACGATGTTATGGTGTTCATTAATCAAAACGAGAGCGCGAACTGATCGCAAGGAAGAGCTACGGCGGGGCGTTGAAGTCTCCGCGCATAACGCTTACGGTGCGATATACATAATTGCCTCCTACGCACGCGTTTTGTTTGGAATTTATTTTTCGTCATTATACTTTCTACATTTCAATATACGTACGTTTTTTTTTTTTTTTTCATATTATTACGTTTGAACGCACGGTGCGCGAGATGGTTTGCCTGCTGACGATAGGTTTTTCGCGTTTAGAAAACCGTATCCCCCGACGGCGGCGAAAGTGGTCGCACGTATCATCTGTTCCCGCGATTTATGCAGCATCAACGACGTACGGTCGTGCATACGATACACGTGTATCCGAAGCGTAAATCGTTGACGATATTGCATATCGTGTACATTGTTTCGTCACCCGCGAAGGCAAACGAATAACACTCGAATTCAATAATAACGTTTCGTCAACCGCTGCAACTGAACAATATTGCGTGTTGTATATCGTTTATTACTCCGATAAATATTGTTTGTGATAGTCGAGTATTTAGTATTTTACCGAGATTTCGCGTCCCAAAACGTTTATCAAACGCACAAGAACAGATCAATGTACTCGATTTTTTTTTTTTTTTTTGTTTTTGTTTTTTGTTGTTATACTGTCGATGTAAGAGATACCGAACCTGTTGGCGCGACGATCCATAGCGGTTCCAGGTGAAATCCTCCGGAGACATTAGACGGTTCTGTGAGAATTCGTATTGCTCGTTAGCAGTACACGAACACAATGTCCCTTGACGATCGAACACACGTGTTTAGGACAGGAGCCTATATTATGTACAAAAAGAAACCAATTCGAGATTGATTAAAATAATAAAATGGTCGTAGAGAGTATCGGGAATCTCGAAGGATTAAAAACAGAAATAGGCGAAATGAAAAAAGGTCAAAAAACACGTACGGTAATAGGTACATCATAATTTCGCATGCAGATGAATTTCGTACATCCCACGATTCCGTTGAATGGCAAATTATGTACGACAACGATTGTCGGTCGACGAGACTGAAAAACGAGAGAAAAAAATAAAAACAAAACGCAGTAAAATGATGATAATAATATAATAATAATAATAATAATAATAATAATAATGATGATGATGATAATAATAACAACAAAAATAATAATAATAGTAAGCAAGAGCAGATTTGTCGGGAAAAGAAGTTTTGGCGGTTTCGTCGTGAAGACAATGTGGCACAACTGGTGATAAGGGGGAAAAATAATCGCCGGATGACGACGGCGGTCGTGGGTTACCACGATGAGGCGGCGGCGGCGGCGGCGGCGGTGAGTCTGACACAATTTCTGGGGCCGGCCGAAGCCGGAAGCCTCCGAGCATTACTATACACGACTACCTGCCCGCCGTCCGTTACTGCTGTATGTAGGTACGAAAACCAGTCGGACCGCACTCGGTTTTCGCTTTATCGCGTTCTTTATGCCCGGCTACGCGGGAACACATAAACGTACGCGCGTTTAACCGACAAAATTTCTTCACACGTGCCGTCCCGAAAACCGTGCCCTCCGCCGCCGTACGCGTGGAAACGCACGCAAAGTTTTGTCCTCCGCTGCCTCGTTATTCGGGTTACAAATGTATTGTTGTCATCGATTTTGTTTTCCGAACGCTATCGAACGTCATCGCGCGCGCGCGCGCGCACCGAACCCGTTGGCATTCCGATCCGAACGTTCGTTTCCGTCTCATGCACGTGTACGCGCGATAAAATATTTAGCGCGCGTACATTACGCCGGTGCGGTTGTCCGCAGTTCGCGGACCCTGCCCGCGAACACCGTCGCTACGTCGCACGCGCACATCACGTGGCCGTGTGCCGCAGGTATGCGATACGCGGCGGTGCGGAAACCGAACGTTTCGGAAAACCGCGCGGAACGGTGCGCGTTCCCAAAGGTTTTCGAAAAACGTATTAATCGTACGTCGAACGTTAACCTACACGGTACGTCGGCAGCGGTCGTCCGCGTTTTCGTTACTGTCCAAACGGGCATATTCCAATTGAACGACGCGAACGCCACCCCGTCGGTCAAGGTTGAACGGTAAAAACCCTGCGGCGATGCTTAACCGGCGGATCGGAGAACGGACGGAAACAACACGTTTGCGGTACCGTCGCGATCGTTCGGTATTGTTTCGATGTGTTCGACGATTCGTATTTACGTTGGTCCAAATACGGATCGTCAATGCGGTTTTACTGACCGGTCACCGTAAACGTTCGGTTACCCCGATGTAAAAGTTCCACACGTGTTACGTGACGTGTTATGTGACGACAAATTATCGGTTTGAAAATGGAAAACAAAAATCGCGCGTTACACAACCACGCGTCGTTGTCGTGCGTCCGACAAACCGTACGACTATTATTTTCTTTCTCAAAAGGAATAACACGATTGCATTCAACGTTATACATAAATAGACTACGGAGTGTGCGTACGCGCGTGTGTGAGAGAGCGTTAAACGCGTAGCTGTAACGTTTTCCTTTATTTTTCTCGCTCGCTCGTCGCACTTCGAACACCTGACGATTAATAATTATGTCATTACCTCCGGCCGAGCAGCAGCCGGGTGGTGCGCGCGTTGACGACCTACATTTCGGTATATTTTTTAGAGGGCGAATTCGGTGATCGAGATCGTTCCGGGATAAACCGTTTAATCGCGGTTAATCTGTTAGTGTCACAGCACTGCCGCGGCAGTCATCGCCGTCTGACGAATAACTTCGCGTACCGCAACGCCCGGACTCCCCGTTTCCCCGAACATTGTACAAACCAATCTGTACACACACCGATTGTAATCGATGCGTGGCTTTAATGACGCGTTTTTATTCAATTGTCTTAAACGGGTTTAAAACCGTTTTAAGAAAGTTTGAAAACAAGAAATTCCTGATCTATGATTAACAGACAGCGACGCTCGATATCACTTTATCAGCAGTTATTGAGATTGTTGTATAACTAATCAACGGTTAGTTACTCGTGTCTCGTGTGATGTGTGTATTATTATTAAGTTATAACAAGTAACCAGAGGTGGAACTAGAAATGTTTACGTAACGGGGAAATGTTAAAATTACGTCCTATCGTAGACCAAGAATCAAACAAATAGCCTTCCCTGCAATTATTTTTTAATTAGTAGCACACAATCACACTTATTGAGTTTTAAACGCAGTATCAGTAACAAAGTTAAAAATATCCAAATAGTAAATTATATACCATAAAAATCACACCCTCTAAGATTTTAACGCTCGGGGATGAATCCTCGTGTTTTTTTCCCTAGTTTCGCTCTGCTCGTAACTTAAAATTCTTAAAATAGGTCAGTATTATTTTTTTACTAGTGTTTATTATATCCTAATTC